TCATTAAATTTACTATGATTTTTTCTACGCCAGTTCCGTAATAATAAGCGATTTTCCAAATTCCCACGAAATTACTAACCTCAAATAATATTCAATATGCTTTATCGCATTCTTCTCATTGACAATAAAGATGATATTGCATCAGTAAACAAAAAGGAAAAAATGATATAAGCCGTAGTCACATAACTGGATCATCACGAAACGTCACGTTCGATATTTTTACAGTATTTCAAGATTTTTATAGTAGAAATGAGTTGCACAAAGACAATGGTTTATTTTCCAGAACAATTTTAAACCATCTTTTATAGACTAAAACAAGATATAAGGCATCTATAGAAGAAAAAATAATAATAATAAATACTCAAATACTACGTCTTAGAACTAACAATTTATTTAACAATAAGAATTTTATTCAAATAGATGTATCATGTTTAATATACAGAGATCATTTAAATATGCTGATTGTCAAGACTATAAACTGTAAAAATAATCACTATACAGCATAAAAATATAAATTAACATTTTTTATAAAATAAGAAGGTAGAGTGAGCAGGAACACTGGAAATATGTCCATCAGGAAATTTTCCAACATCTAAAATAATAGATAATAAGTCGTTAGAAAATTATTAAAACTTAGCATGAATTCAAATAAAAAATGAAACATACATTTAGTATTAATAGGTGAATGACCATTAGCAGTTTTAACTGCTTGAAGATAAGTAATATCACTGAAAGCACCAGTTCCTTTGTGATTCTATTATTATCAATTTAAATAAATTGTGTTATAAATATATAAAGATAAAAATCACTAACAGAGAAAAAAGAAAAAAAAACACGCACTGAAGTTTCCATTAAGCCCCAGCTATGATCAACTTCTGGATTAGGAGGTTCAATAGCAGAAAGTACTTTAAATTCAAGAGAAGAAGTATCATCCATGAGAAGAGATTTTACGGTACATGTTGGAAAACTGGAGCCGACTAAATTTATAATTAGTAGATTAGAAAGTTGAAAGTTTAAGATTTGGATTACAAGGTGAATACATACTGTCATCACTCATAGTAAAATCGGTTATTTTTATTTCAGCTATATAAGAATATGGAACATTAGCAACGTCTTCAGCGCAATTGAAGAGATATGCATCACTGCCACCTGTTAAAAAGTAAGAATAAATTCATTATATAAATGTGAACGTCATCATGTTAATCTGAATTTGTAAAAGATAAATACAAATATTGTCATGTTATTAAATATTTAACAAACTATATATGTAAATACCGGATGTGAAAATCAAAATTTTTACACACGTACGTACGTACGTACTTACAAAGTACATAATATAATAATAACCAACAAAGTATGATTATTCAGTAAAGTCGTACCGTAAAGTAGGATAGATTAGAATTGTTAATATATCTAAATACGTAGACGTACTACGTATATTACACATACGTACGTACGTACGTACGTGGGAATTAAGATATTATTTGCCTTTACAAGAAATTTATAACATGCCATTATTTTGGTACAAAAAAAGAAATTCATACAATACTAATGCTAAATTTGACTTATTAGGCAATTTTTAAATTCCTACGTACTACCAAATACGACCATAAACATTTATCGTTATGTATCAATTATAGGTATTCAGTAAAGTAGTACTATACGCCACTACAGATTCGGACGGTTAACTATTTTTTATGTTTAAGGCCTAGGGTTATACTTGTTGGCAAAACCGGACAAATCCCAATCCCCAAAAATACAATTGCTATTTATAAAAATTGAATCAAAAAAATAAATTTGAAAATTTGCAAATATATTATATATAGCTATAAATATTTATATGATTTGTTTAAATGAATATCATTAATAAAGTTTTTGAGATATGAGTTTGGCCAGAGTTTGTGATTTGGGACGCCCAATCCCAAACTATAATAGTTTGGGATTTTGCAACATGTATAGTTAGGGTGAACGCTAGTATTGTCATTTTTCATGGGGTTAGTAGTAAAATAACTTGGGTTTGATCTTTACAAACAGTACTATCCTGATTTCTACACGTTTGTCCTAATTTGCGTTGCACCGTACTACTTTACTATATACCAATCAATTACCCGATTTAGTTAGTACGTACGTACGTACGTACGTATTACCTTTAACTTTCAATTTTAGCGGTGAGTGTAGGACAACGTAATTGATATTGCGCACGTAAATAACTGCTAGCCCATCGATGTTAGAGCAGAAGATGGAAGCCTTTGGGTGTTCTCAAACCTCAACCCGATGTGATTAGCTAGAGATCGTAATAGTGCACAAACATAATTATATTTATATAAAATTTTTGTTGAAAATTTGAATATGCAAATTATTGATTAGCTAGTAAACGTGACGATGCTCATTTATTATAATTAATTAAAATAAAAATTGCAATTGATACTTGAGCGATTCATTATTTATCAAATGTCGTCACTAGATTTAGGTCTTCATTGATGTTTGATTGTTGTACGAAATGAAGAAATTATTGGTGAAATAGTAAAATTTGTTGCTAGCAAAAAATGATAAATATTTTTTTTGGGCTTTCTGCCAATTTTTTTTTATTGCTCAAAATTTTTAGTGAAATGAAATAAAATAATAATTCTTTGATGACAAAGTTACTTGAGTGATCTGTTTGAACACTCAATTAATTGTAAATTTTGACAAGTTAGGTATATAAAAAAGATGGTTTGCAGCAAAAAAGTTTGTAAATTGAAATGACAAACTCACTTAATGTTTTTTTTTTTTTTTACTAATAAAATTATTTTATTTACGTAATAGACTTTATCAAATTACGATTATTATTTAAATATTCATCACAATGACAAACACACTTGGATCGCTTAAAATATTTGTTGCTAAGTAAAATTTATTCACCGACACTTTTTGACTTATTGATTAAGGTGTTTGAAAACGATCTTAATCTCTCAATAATACAATAGAGTTCTCATACATCATCCTAATTAATAAAGTGCCATTCTAAGTGCACATTCGTAATTTATAAACAAATTTCGTAAACTGGAGTTTCAGGATTCCATAAAAATATGATCATGACCCAAAATCCAACATATTGTAAACCTATAACAGTTCTTTGTTAGACGATTCTCACCCAAATCGATGATGACACCAGCAGAATGTCAAAGTTATAGGCATTGACTTGCACAAATCAGCGGATCTGCATTTAAATAATGAGATGATATCTTTAATATCTAGTAAAATGAGTAAAGTTAAAGAACTAATTATTAAGGTTTTGAGTTTATTCTATAATTCGTAAGAAAACTTTCCTGCATTCCCGAAGGTTATGCGCTGTAGCTTAGTGGGTTACCTAGTTATTGGAATTCATGAATGCAAGGCTTCTAAACTTCTGAAAGTAAAAAAGCTCAGGCTAGCAGCCATGTATTTTTATTATTAGAGCATGAATCCTTTGATATTCATAGACATATGTAAGTGACCTATATCTAAACAGAGTGTTATACAAAACGCACTCTCGGAATTTGCTTCATGTTTTAATTAATAAAACATGAATTTTTTCGTATTTCCATTACACAATACATTTTTTCCGAATATAGATATTCTAGATATTTTTTTAGCACATATACCAATTTTTTTAGTAGTTGGTCGGTTTTGAGATTTAACATTTAAGCATCTACTCATTAAATTCAAAAGTAACTGAAGAACTTCAACACAATATTCGGTTTACTCTATGCTAAAATATCTCTTTTCATCACTTTTATGATTGCTTCATATTTCGTGTCATCTTGTGAGTTATTTCAGTATTTGGTTTTTCTTTCATTGAATTTTTGTAAATTTATAATCATAAATTGTCAAAGATTGTAGCTAGGATGTCAAATTGTCAAAGACTGTAGCTAGGGTGTTAAAAGTTCAGTTTGGTCCGACTCGACCCCAAAGGTTAAGTCTTTATCAAAACTTAGTCTAAGTCAAATCTGGAATTCGAAGCACATTTTTATAATTAAAATGCAATGTCTTTAATATTAACATCACAATGTTGGAATCGGTCCTTCTGGGCTTAATGACGATTCAAAAATTCCGGACTACGTACTCAAAAGGCTGGAGAAAAAGAATTTGAAGATCATTTCTAAATTTAATTATATCCTTGTGACTATTAATCTTGGTTAAAACTTGAATCTGCAATATGACGTTATAGATAAACGCCGAAATATGAGACGAGACCTAGAACTATATAAAAGACAGACAGAAGAATTCATTGATCGTTTCTAGATTTATAAGTGATATCCATGTTATCCATGTACCTATGAATTTTGAATCTGTAATCGATAAACATTGCTTTATTTAAATAAAATATAATAGGATTTAAAACGATGCAGAATGAAACGAGACAAACTGAACTTGAAATGAGGCAAAGCAGAGCACTAAGATATTAAAAAAAAAAAATGCAAAGTTTAATTTGCAATGCAATGGGGTTTGGCAAATCAAGGCCGAAAGTCATAAAAAAAAATTATTTAAGAACTCAATTTCGAATTGGATATCCGGATGATTAAGTTTAAAACGGATAATGGATTAACAAATGAGCTAAGCGGATAAATTAAATGTATATCAAATTACCTAGATTAAAACATATGATAATTGATAAGAAACCATATCTATAATTAGCGAAACTAAACACTGGATAAGAAGATTGTCCGGATGTTCTAGACTGATATTCTTATTATCCGTATCCAATTAATTATATAGAATTTATACGTAACCGATTAAGGATAATATAATTTTAATCATATTAATATAACAAAAATAACCAGCCAAATGCCGTTAAAGTGGATAACGATCCAATCACTAGCTTATAAATCTTAACAACATTGTTGTGAGGGCATTGTGTTTAGTAGACTTTACGTAGGGTAGGCGTAGTTTGTATAACTTATCGCTACAACTCATTTCCTGAAATAGAAAACAATATATGTACTGTTGATTTATAAAAACTAAAACAAGTTAACTAATGCGTATGTACTTATATACGTACTCTTTCTCTCTTCTCTCTCTTCTAAAATAAATCATTGAAAAAATGGGCTACCGAAAAAATGAAATGATTGAAATACCATTTTGTACTAGCAGTGAAAAACTGTATGAAGAATTATCGGATTATTTGAAATCTAAACGATCTAAATTTAATTTTACGAATCTTCATGAAATTACGAATCTTCATGAGCATGAAGGAATCAAGAGCGCATTCAATGCCGTAAACCTTAATCTATCTCCCAATCATGCTTACATTTTATTGTTAGGCTTATCAGGTTCAGGAAAATCTTCAACAATTAATTCATTATTCGATAAAATTATTGCCGTTACTGGAAATTTAATATCTCAAACAAAAGAAACTACCGAATTCAAAGCTGAAATTAATGATTCACGTTTAGGAATAAAAAATCTTGGAATAAGTATCATTGATGGTCCAGGTTTAGAAGATTCAAAAGGAATTGAAGAAGATGCAAAAAATATTTTATGTTATAAACGATTTTTGGAATCTCATCCTCAACTTGCCTCGGTCAGACCAAATATAATTATGATAGTTGTAAATATTACCGATAATCGTTTTGGTGATTCGGAAAATGTTGAAACTCCTTTTGTGAGAATGTTAAAAGGGATTAAATATGGTCTTGCTGATAAAATTTTAAATCATGAGTGGCCATCTGTAATCTTTGTTTTGACACATCTTAAAAGCATTCCCCCTAAAAAATCAAAAGAACTTGTATCCACTAAAATTGCGTTGATAAAAGAACTGTCTGCCAACATTTTAGGCATCATTGATCCACCTGTTGTCACTATAGAGAATTGTCCAGATGACTGGGATGTAGAACGCAAAGATGATTGGTATATCTTGGACAATGATGAAGAACATCCGCTCAATTTGTTTAATACTTTGATTAATCTTTGCAAAGATTCGACTGATTATATTGGGCAAGAAGCCATTTCTTTGTATTTTTCTAGTGCTTCTCAAAGTGATGTTAAAATTGGTCATAGATTTTCTGTCAAAGAATTAACTAAAGACGACAATAATAGTATAAAATCTATAACAACAAAATTATCTGAAATTAAATTAGGCATGGATAATTCTAAAATAAAAAAAATTTTAGAAGATAAATTCATATTATTACCTACTGAAACGCAAAATGAATTAGGAAGCAGAATACCGATTGAGATTGCAAGTTTCTTTCAGTCAAATAAAATAACTACAGTTCAGGAAATCCCGAATGGTGATGAATTTCTAGAACTTTATGCAAATTACCCTCGACCTTGTACAAATTTATTAAATTTTCTAAAACAAGTCTTTGATCGGAAAACAGCTGAAACTTTTGTTGATCCAGAGGTTGGAAAGTGTTACAATGTCTTCAAAGACAGTACTGTTGGCTTTCCTGTATTTCAGATTGGTGATTATGTGATGTCCCCTACAGGTTTTAAAGTTCCTCGTGAAGTTCACATTCACGAAACAAATGGGACTTTAACTCGAAGAGAACAGTTTGAAAATAAGCAAGATTATTTTCGCAAAAGATTACTTGATCTCGGTCTTTCTATAGACTTACCAATTGCTTATGATAATTCTAATTTGCATTATGGATATTCAACTAACAAATCAAATCATGAAACAGAACAAACATTTTTAATTGAACGCCATTGTTTTAAGTTTACTTTGAACATTGATAAGCTTCGATTATCTCAAACCTTTAAAGATGATTTAGATATTCTCCCTCCTAAATACGATAACTATGATGAAAATAATGTTAGAATGTGGAAAAATTTCTTTGAAAAAAATGGAACCCACGTGGTTCAATCTGCATGGGTTGGTGGCTCCATAAGTGTCAAAATCGCTTCATCTAATATAACCCCTGAAAACAATGAACTCATCATAGCTGGAATTCAAGCTCGTATTTTCAATTCTCAGATACAACTCAATTTTTATAATGAAATTGATGAATTTAAAAATTTTGAAGAGGCAGTAAACTCAGCTAGATTGGAAATGCGTGGTGGAGACCTCAAATATCATGTTACGGCACTTCAAAATTTAAATAGTGAAAAATGGTTTAATTCCATCAAAGTGAAACCAGTTGTTTTAAATACAAAATTTGAACTTATTCCAATTAACATTGTTGCAGGAAAACACAATAATAATATTCAAGATCAGATGGCTGCTGCCATGAAGGATTTTTTTGGTGATGATTTAATTTGTATCAAATCAGAAACATTTTCAGAAAAACAAGAATCATATCCCATCACAAGTCGTATAGATGCAACTAATAGCTCTGCACCAAATCTGAGCAAGGGAACATGTCTTAGATCAGGTACTTTGATATCAATGGCTGATGGTACAAAGGTTGCTGTTGAAAAACTCAAACCAGGAGACATAGTCGTGGGTAAGAATGGAGCTCCGTGTCAGGTTCTTGGAAAAAATGATATATTACTAGGAAATAGATCTTTATACGGTTTTTGTTCGGAGAAAACTGCCTTTTTTACATCTGAGCACCTTTTCGCTACACATAATGATGAATGGATGTGTATTGATCCAGATCTTTCTCATCTGATAAATCCTCAAAACAATACAAAAAAAATTCATAAAATGCAAAATCAAAATAATATTCTTAGATGGAATGGAAAAACTACCGAATTAACAACGTTCAAAGTATTCAAATCTACCGACAAATTTTCTCCTACTATGAAAGTTCATTGCTTACTAGTAACAGGTGGTATTTATGTAGCAAATGGATATGTTACTCACGATAGTATGCCAGACTTGTTAGCGTGGCCAGCTGTATCAATTTGTTTGGCTTCGTTGATATTTTCCGAGAATGCACATCAACTCCAAGAATGTATTTCTACAATAGATTCTCTCGATGATGCGAAGCTTATCAGGGAGCTCTCTTATCAAATTTCTACAGAATGGAAAAAAATAATCAAAACACCAACTTCTTGTATGAATTTCAATGATGTTGAAAAAGCTATTAAATTATCAATTGAAAAAATTCAAATATTTAATCTGTGGTGACCAAAATTTTCTTCAAGAAATTCTCAGTAAACCTGTATTTACTTTTCTATCACAAAATCTTTTTATTCTTTGTGGTGAAGATTTACATGAATCACTCAATGAGTTCTTTCAAAATGATGATGATGAATTTTATTGTAGAGCAACTTT